TGATCTCGTTGGTCTGTGTGTCCCTCGTCTGAAAGCAGCACGTATTCAGCTTGTGAGACCCTCACAAGCTACTCCACATTCAAATCATATACTTACTAACCAGAGCTTAAGGATCATATGATTCCTTAGACAGTAAATCTGGTGGCTGGGAGTTGTACACATATTTGGCAGATTATAGGTTTATCACTCTCAGTTAATCTCTTAGAGAACTGTGGCTTAATTCCTTTTGTTAACTAATTAAAAAAAAAAAAAAAGAGAAAGGAGTTAAAGCTCTAATTAGAGCTATTAAAACATGCATTACTCACTCAATGGCCTATACAGCTAGGATAAATGTATAATTAGGAGGTTTGTCCAAACATGATTAAAGCTAGTCACGTGTCCGAGGCCATCGAACATTTGTGTGTGTGAATAGAGTCAGTATGAAAATGTGAATATCAACCATGTCTTACTTTGCAGAGAAAATACATGAACTATCTTTTGGCGTATTATAAATATTTAACTCAAAGCATGACAGCTCTTGTCAGGTGAAAATTCGGGAAGGATTGTGTTGCGCCTGTAGCTTCTCCTGGCTGTGTGTCATTGGCGACAGCCATCGGACCAGGTCCCTCTGACCCCGTGGTCTGTCACTGCCTGTGGTTTGCTGATAGTTTAAGGAATCCAGAAATGAGTCGGTTGTGCGTTCCTGTTAGTGATCGGTGCGCTCCCTGAGGCATAAGGGTGCTCATATGTCTTTTGGGGGACTGGGTTTCATTTTTGTTTTGTTAGTCTTCAAATTACAAAGTACTAAAGTCTTCAGCATGTTTTTCCTTCCGTAGAGTTGAGAGATGGGAAGAAGAGAGCAGATCCATTGACTTACCGACCTGCGTGCACGTACGAGTGCTTTCTCTGTGCGCTGGTTTCTGCTGATGGCATCCCTTGAAGGGCAATTCCCAGGCAGGTGGTGGTGGGGCTGGTTCAGGGTCTCCGTCAGCCACCATTCTTTCCATATATTGATGGTTTATTGTATACTGGAACCTTGCGGTTCATCAGCCCCTTTGTGGTTCATACCAGTTGGAGAAAGGGTCTCGGAGCACCTTTGCATCCTAAATTTCCACCAGAGCTCGTAGCAGTCACACTGTACGGTTCAGGGGTTCCTATGATGACCCCTCTCCAGCTGTCCCCACCCGAGCTGGTGGCACGGAGCTGTGCAGCAGCGTGGCTGGGACTGTGACAGCCTCCGGAGCACTTTGGGCTGAGGCACAGGCAGGGAGGGGGATCTCTGCCATATTTCTCCATTTGAAGAAAACTCTTGCTTTTCTACCAACCAGGAGATGTTGGCAGCTCTCATGGAGGTGCGAACATCTCTGATATGACTGCTAATCAAAATGAAAGACATAAATAAATGGTTTCCTGTAGTAGCTCTTTGTTTCAAAAAACTTTAGTTGCAAGCACTGAGCCAGAGAAAAAGCCACCGAAGTATTGAGGTTGCTGGGCTTACCTATGGAGGAAGGGAAAGCTCAGGTGCACAGATAAACAAATTACAGAAGAGCTCCAAAGTAATGCAGAAAGGAATAAACTTTCTTCATATATGACAGTTTCTGCGTGGGGAACAGTGAAATTCCCTTAAAAGTCTGAGCTGCCTGTGCTGCTTTCAGTGCAGATAACGCAGAGAAGAATTTGGCTGGTGTCAGCCCTTTTTGTCTCAATGAACTGCTGAGCATCCTGGGGCAGGACAAAGAGGAAAAAGCACTTGGGGGAAAATCTCATGCAGAGGAAATGGTAGAAGTGTCCTGCCACAGCTTCCTCTGCGCGGGTGATATCTGACTTCCCTGTCTGTTTGTGTCATCATATCGTGTTCGCATACACTCGGAGGGATGTGCCTATACCTCTATGTGTATATAGATACCCACACATAAAATAGCTGTTGTCTATATTGCTCACATGGTGGTTTTGGGACCAGTTTGTAAGCGGTTCGTGGTATGTCTGTGGTCCGAATGAGTAGCAGCGTAAGAATTTTGGAGTTGGTTTGTTGTTTGTGTTTTTTCTTCCTATATGAGAAAGGAAAAGATGAGGCGTCTCTCTGAAAGGATGACTTCTTGTCTTGGGGAGCCACCCAGCTGTCCCTCTTCAGAGATGAGAAAAACTTAAGTTTTGACTGACGGATGACCATCTGGGGGTTCCAGCTTGCTGTACCAAATTCCTGCATAATTCTGTTGTGTAGGTGCCAACGGGATGCGTGCCAGCCAAAGATCCAGAAGAGATCTCTCAGCAGGATAAGAAGGGGCATCAGCTCTTTACCCCTAGATATAGAGCTCTAAAACCAGGCACAACACAGAGCTGGTTACGAATAATTCCCTACTATTGTTTTAGACTGTTGTATGTTTTGCCCAGTTGTTGCACCTAAATAGCTGCATAATCCTGAATATATCATCTCAGAAGGGCAACACCACTCGTGTCTGTGTGTAGATGATGCTTTTATGAGACTGCTTTTATTGCCGGCTGGAGTCAGACTCTCATGACTTAAATTTGGATCCCGCTGCTTCAGAGAATATGGTTGAAAGATGAAAAAATGGAATGTGGAAGCATGGGGTGAGCCAGGAAGGAGGATTTGAGGAGGAATTGGGGGAGAAGAATGAATGTGTTACCTGTTGGGGATTATTTCATTGTATTGAGACTCTGAATCAATGGTATCGATGGAACTCAGTCACTCCTTACCGCAACAGGAAAACTTTGTACAGTTCTCCTGCCTTACACAAGGATTGTAAGAGGAACCTTATAAACAGCATTATTTGGGGGAAATTCCCATCCAGTGCATTCCCTGGGAGTGACGCTGGCTGGTGAGCACACACGGGTGTCATTTTTGTGTAGGTATTTCACATTTGAGGAACATCCAGTGCATTTACAAACTGGTCATGCTCCAGGTGTAACCAGCACCCTCTACGTCCTCACTGCAGGTCTGGCAGGTGACTGTTGTGCCTGTCACCCCCTCTGTGATCCAGACCTGAACCTCTTAAGAACCCCAAATCAACCTCCCGTTCCCTCGCTTTCTAATTCTGCGTGACTGAGTCATTCCGCGTAAATACTGTTGCTCATTCCAAACGCATCGGTTACCTGCACACCAATCACTGTCAGCATATTTCTGCAGCAGAGTGGCTGAGCATTGGGTAATTGGCAGAAATTAAAAAGCTTGAGTCACAGCATTGCCCTTTCTGCATACACCCACGTGTCTCTGACATACGTGCAGCTTACAGGAGACACATGAATGGATAGCAGCTCTGCAAACAAGGAACTTGTATACACTCAGAAAATAGGTATTGATGCAGAATTTACGTCAAAATAAGAGGAAGTGAAGAGCGTGCAAAAGTATTTGTTTTGTGGGGCTGGATTCCTCGAGAAATTCTTTTCAACCAGGGGATGACAGTGAGGAAAGCAATGAAAGCGTGTCAGTGGTAGGTTTTTTTTTTTTTTGTCTGCGGATGGATATATTTATGACTGAGGCACGTGGCTTGATGTCCGCATGGCATTTTCCACATTGGAGAAGGAGAGCCCTGTGTTCTGCCTTAGCTGTGCTGTAGGGCAGAAAGTCAGCCGCTTCCCTGGAACTCACCTTTTCCCCAGCTGTAGCAGGGGCATCAGTAATTGCTCGTTGCTCTCAAAGCACTTTCGTGTTTAAGGACGTATCATAATCCCTGCTGTTCTTCTCACAAGCGATCTATAGAATAATAACAGTAAATCGAGGATTTGCAGAGGTTACATTTGTAGAAATAGATTTCCCCATGCTCACGGTTTTCTGCAATTGAATCTTTAATTCCCGCACCTGCAATTACTTCTGGGTGTAGCTCAAGCTGCTTAGGTGTCTGAGAACTGGATTGCGCTCATGTATCAGGCATTTCGGCAGCGAAGTCTCGTGCCTTATGCCTTCACACAGCAGCACACGGAAAACTGCAAGT